GGGCTGGGAGGCGCAGGCGCAAAGGGGTTAAGGATTGGCACCTTTGGGGAGCGGGTACCCGGATTTTTACAGGTACCTGCTCCCACTTCTGCTGTGATCGCCTTGGATATTGGAAGCGGAAGTTGTCCTCCCCCCTCCCCCCCCGTAGTCTTCTGGGACACATCAGGTCACAGAAGACTACGGGGCCATTCACAAAGCACAGCGCTTCTCGTGCATGCGCAGTGGGGACCCGGCTTTGATGCCACAAGCTATCACAGCCGGGTGCCCACACTGAAGATGCCGGCACCGGGGAGAGTAGACGGCCGATGAAACCAGAGGTGGTGAGGACACTGCTGGACCGAGGGACAGGTAAGTGTCTGTATTTTAAAACTCAGCAGCTGCAGTTTTTGTAGCTGCTGACTTTTTTTTTTTTTTTTTTTTCAGGTCGAACATCGCTTTAATTTCCTTTAGCAGAGGTTTCTTTAGAAAGCCTGGTCAATTGATTCTTCATCTGTCCAGTTTACAAAAATGCTTCAAATAATGTCCAAACTGCAAGGGTCAGTTCACATCTGTGTGCTTTTGCTGCGCTAAATGTACCTGTTCAGCACGTTAAAAGCGCATAAAAATAGTCCTCTTTAAATACTACGCATCTGTTTCCATCTGTATGCTGCAGTTCTATACAGTGTGCTGCACTTTTGAAAAGTCCTGTTTGCTGCATCTTCAGTGCGTGTTGTGAAAGACGCACCTTGCATTATTGTCAAGGATAGCGCACCGTAAACACACCACAAGTTTAAGTGCGTTTTTTTTGTTTTTTTTTTTAGCCACACATCCATTTTTCCCAGGTGACTAGGGAAGAAACTGCATGCAAAAATGCATTGCGTTGAATTTTAACCACTTGCCTTCCAGAGGATTTACCCCCCTTCCTGACCAGGCCATTTTTTGTGATACATTACTTTGCATTACTTTAACTGACAATTGCGCGGTTATGCAATGCTGCACTCAAATCAAATTTATGTACTTTTTTTCTCACATATAGAGCTTTCTTTTGGTGGTATTTGATCGCCTGTGCTTTTTTTTTTTTTATTTTTTGCGCTATAAACAAAAGGCTGACAATTTTGAAAAAAAAAAACTATTTTTTACTTTTTACTATTAAACATGTCCTGTAAAAAATCAAATTTCGTCATAAATTTAGGCCAAAATGTATTCTGCAACATGTCTTTGCTACATCCCCAGTGACACCAAGACAGTGATCAGTGTTAATAAAAATCACTGATGCTGTACTAATGGCACTGGGCAGGAAGGGGTTAACATGAGGGGCGATCAAAGGGTTAACTGTGTGCTGTTTCACCATGTGTGCTGTGTTTGTGCTTTAAACTGTAAGCACACTGCTTTGTATGGCTCTGCTATGCTATGCAGAGCCATACAGAGCAGTGTGCAGGAGCTGACGGGAGAGATTTGTGTTTATACACAGGTCCCTCCCCCATCGAAGATACTCAGACATCGCTGTCGGCGAGGAATCACCGGCCGGGACCCGGTGTTTACCTTCCGAGGCTTCAAATGGTGGCGCAGGTAGCGCATGCCCCCTGCCCGGAACTGCACAATCATATGTGTATGTATCTGTGTGTATGTATGTATATGTGTGTATGTATGTATGTGTGTGTGTGTGTGTGTGTGTGTGTGTATGTATGTATATATATAGTGTGTGATTTTGCAACAGATGTGAGAAATGACATTTTCAGAAGTATACATTACAGCATTTGGAGAGTTAGAATTCTTTCTTTTCACCATATTTGCCCACACTGGGGTTGAGTTGCTAAAACTGTAGAGTGCAAAATCTGGCGCAGCTGTACATGGTAGCCAATCGGCTTCTAACTTCAGCTTGTTCCATTAAGCTTTGGCAAAATTCCTGGAAGCTGATTGGTTTCTCTGCACAGCTGCGCCAGATTTTGCACTTTTCAGTTTTAGTAAATCAACCCCGATGCATACGTTCTGTGAAATTCAGTAAGAGTGTTGTAGATGCTCAGACATCTGTCTCGCAGTAGTGTGACAAATGTTGGAACTTGCGATGGATTTGTGTCAGTAAATCTGTTGTAGAATTGTCTGTGATGAATTTGGTCTTGGAGAGCATTCTCTCTGTGACACAGTACCTACATGTGTTCCACAATTTACTCCCAACATGGAAGAGGTCCTATTTATTTCCACTTTATCGCTGATACGTCGGTATTTGTTTATTAATTTGACACAATAGCGATAAATAGTAATAAGTTACAAATAAAAAACATGAATTTGTTGCAAGTAGGGTTGCACTGATACTGGTATTGGTGCAGATACTACATTTACACAAGCATCAGTACTCGTGCAAATGCACCGATACTTAATACCGATACTTTGTCACTTGCACACACAGATGCCCAGCTTCTGTGTGTAGTAGTGCCACGCTCCTCTCCCAGCGGTGCCCGAGGGTGGGGGGATGTGCTCCAGTGCAGCCAGTGGAGGATTGACTGACAGGTCAGTCCGGACCATCAGCCAGCCAATCCGCTGCTCTGAATCCTCAGGAACCTGCAGTTGTTAGGACCACCTTCTTCATAGCAACCAATGATGTCACATGTGCGCCCTACTCTGCACCACACTTCTCCTCCCAGCTCCTACCGCCTACCTGCCAGGCTCTATAGAATGAGTCTAAAGGTACAGGGGTCTCTAATGGGGGAATCTAAATGTATGGGGGGATATGATGTAAGAGAGATCTGATGCAAGGGGCGTCTGATGGAGGATCTGATGTATGGGGGCTAAGATGGGGGAATCCAATGTAAGGGGGACTCTGATGAAGGGAATTGGATGTAAGGGGGGCTCTGATGGGAGAATCTGATGTATGGGGGAATCTGATGTGATGTAAGGGGGACTCCGTTGGGGGAATCGTATGTAAGGGGGGCTCCGAATCTGATGTAAGGGGGACTCTGATGGGGGAATCGGATGTAAGGGGGGCTCTGATGGGGGAAGTTGATGCACATGTGATTCTTTGCAGTGCAAGTTGAGCTCATTCATTTTCAATGGGCTAAAATCACACTGCACAAGAATGAGGAAAATCGTTATCGGTAATTGGTATCAGCGAGTACCTGATAAAAAGTATTGGTTTTCGTACTCGTTCTTCAAAAACTGGTATTGGTGCATCCCTAGTTGCAAGTGTTAGTACTTACAAAGAAATTGTCATTCAGGTTTCATGAATTTGGTGCAAGGTTTCCAACTACATCCATGCTGCAAGAAATGTGTCATAAATGCCTTATTGAATTTCCATTATTGTGGTCCCACTCAGGAACTCCATGGTTGGCAAAGATTCCTCTAAAATGTGACTACCCTTTACTCTCTATAGGCATATTTACTATTGCATCTAGAATGCTACACATGCAGCACCCAAACATACATTTGTTGTATTTATTGCATCCTGTAGGTTGGGCAATTTATTTTCCTCTTTTATAAGTATATCTAAACCTAAGAACAAACATTTAACCATCATTAGATGTGGTGACTGCATTAATTTTTCAGGCTAAATTCAGTTTCTGTAAGCACAGAAAAATACTGTTTATCCTGCCAGAAATTCAATGTTCTTGTACATTCTGTGCCCTGGGGGTGTTTCTAGTCGAAATCAGGAGAGCAGAGCAGTCTAGAGTGAGTGGCAAAGGTACTGCTCCATAGCAGGGGTGGACTGATAACTCATGGGGCCCCCGAGCAATAGGGGATCATGGGGCCCCTGTGCCCTTGCTCAAACTCAAAAAAGCCTATGAAAAAGGTGCCAGGGGCATCTCATGGGGCCCCCTGCTGACCCGGGCCCTTGGGCAGTGCCCGAGTTTCCAAATGGTCAGTCCGCCCCTGCTCCATAGATACAGTACAGATAGTCAGTGTTGTCATTCTAGGGCAGGAAGTGTGTTACAGCAATATCACCAGGTGAAAATAAAGGTGAGAATGTTTGAGAACAAGAACATTAATGCAGCCAACACATCTAAGGCCTGGCAAGCTGCAATATATTTCATTTTTGTTTTTTTCTGCAGCTAGGCATATGACCAGCTGTCACTACATTATACTATATTTTGTCTGGCAGTACTAGGGTTGTTGGTTTTAATCCCAACCACGGCACCACCTGCCTGGAGTTTGCATGTCCTCCCTGTGCCTGCGTGGGTTTCCTCCAGGTACTCTGGTTTCCTCCCACACTCCAAAGACATGCTGGTAGGTTAATTGGTCCCTGTCTATATTGGCCCTAGTATGTGTATGTATGAATGTGAGTTAGGGACCTCAGATTGTACACCCCTTGAGGGTTAGGGACTGATGTGAATGTACAATATATACATGTAAAGCGTAAATGAGTAAATTGATGGCGCTATATAAGTACTTATAATAACTTTTTTAATTTCCTTCTGCTGGTAATTTTTTTTATAGTTTCTATTTTTTTTTACTATTTTTCCATTTTCATTCAACAAAACTTCCAAGTGTATTCCTGTTTTACTCTTAGATTGTAAGCTCCAAGGAGCAGGGCCCTCCCAACCCTCTTGTATTGTTGCTGTATTGTCTCCCTTTATATTGTAAGGCGCTGAGCAAACTGTTGGCACAAGATATATATATATCCTGTATAATAATAATACATCTGGTTATAAAATGTATATTACACTTTGCTTTATGACATCCTTTCATAAATATGCTGCTTTAAACACTCTTCCTTGTGCCACTCCGCATTGTAATAGGAGGTTGGAAATCATCATGATTGACCCTGGAGATGACTTCTTTCCAATACTGCAGAGCTATTCGAGGTCATGATATTAGTGTATTATAATGTATTTGCTGTAGCACAGTGATAAAAGTTTAATCTGAGAGGTAGCTGGAGCTGGACTTGTGAACTCTCCAGCAAGGTCTTCATAGTGCAACTCTTTCTGCTATATCAGCAAATACTATGATGGCCAATATGTCTGTCATACCATTGCAGTTCCTGCTCTTGTGTAGCTGATCTTTAATGTTAAATGTGTTTCTTTTTGCAGTGACCTCAGAAGTTTTTGAGGATGATAATCTAAGCAGTGTGGTCTCTGAAGAGGACTCTGAGACACAGTCTCTATCAAGCTACAGCTCTGGCCCAACAAGCCCTTCTGAGGTTCTGAGCCCTTTTCCAGGTGCACCACGTCCTGGCAGCTTAGATCTTTCAAGCCCCATGTCCCTATCTGAATTTGGGTTGATATCACCTGTCCTTGGTCCTCGCAGTGAATGCAGTGGAGCGTCGTCACCAGAGTGTGATATGGAGAGAGGTAGGATGGCTTTGGTTGCATAGAAATAGTTTGATCTCCGTATCACAGTAGTCATTTTGACCTACCATGAAAAAGAATTGCCTGATATTCTGCAGTATTGTTTGATTTTTGTAGATGATGAGTAGACATGTTCGCCACCTAAATTTTTGTTTTCATTTCATTAGTTAATTGAAGAATTTTGTTTCATCATATTTGTTATGTTGAACAGATTAGTTTTCCAGATTCGTTTTGTATCATTGGCATTTGTTTCATATTCGTTTTTGTTTTGGAAGGATTTGATCTGTTCAAATTCGATCCGAATTCATTGTGAAGAATAGCTGGTTGTCAAGGAGCAGGCGGCCACTGCCGCTTCCTTACCAATCATGAATCATCTGCTGTCAGCGGAATTTCCGCTGACTGCAGAATATAAACAACCAAGTATCAACATTAAAAAAATGCTTTGCCTTGCTTTTTTGGATGGTGCTGCAAACTGTTTTCACACACAATAATTTTTGGAAGTATTCCTGAGCCCATGCAGTGATGTCCATCACAGAATCATGTCTGTTTTTTATACAATGCCGTCTGAAGATCACGGGCATCTAATATTGCACTTCGGCCTTGTCCCTTACACACACAGATTTCTCTGGATTCTCAGAATCATTTGATATTATGTACTGCAGATGATAATATATTTTATCATTATATTTGTTTTTTCCTGTGAATATAATATGGGTTTGAGGTTTGCAAATCATTGCATTCCATTTTTTATGTATATTGTACACAGTGTCCCACCTTTTTTGAATTTGGGGTTACAGTGGGGATCGAAAGTTTGGGCACCCCAGCTAAAAAATTTGTATTAATGTGCATAAAGAAGCCAAGGAAAGATGGAAAAATCTCCAAAAGGCATCAAATTACAGATTAGACATTCTTATAATATGTCAACAAAAGTTAGATTTTATTTCCATCATTTACACTTTCAAAATAACAGAAAACAAAAAAATGGCGTCTGCAAAAGTTTGAGCACCTGCAGAGTTAATATCTTGTACTGCCCCCTTTGGAAAGTATCACAGCTTGTAAACGCTTTTTGTAGCCAGCCAAGAGTCTTTCAATTCTTATTTGAGGTATCTTTGCCCATTCTTCCTTACAAAAGTCTTCCAGTTCTTTGAGATTTCTGGGCTGTCTGTCACGCACTGCTCTTTTAAGATCTATCCATAGATTTCCAATTATGTTGAGGTCAGGAGATTGTGAAGGCCATGGCAAAACCTTCAGTTTACGCCTCTTGATGTAATACCCCGTGGATTTTGAGGTGTGTTTAAGATCATTATCCATTTGTAGAAGCCATCCTCTCTTTAACTTCAGCTTTTTCACAGATGGCATCAAGTTACCATCCAAAATTTGCTGAAATTTTATTGAATCCATTTTTCCTTCTACTCGTGAGATGTTCCCTGTGCCACTGGCTGCAACACAACCCCAAAGCATGATTGATCCAACCCCATGCTTAACAGTTGGACAGAGGTTCTTTTCATTAAATTCTGTACCCCTTCTTCTCCAAACGTACCTTTGCTTATTCCGGCCAAAATGTTCAATTTTAACCTCATCGGTCCACAGAACTTGTTTCCAAAATGCATCAGGCTTGTCTATATGTTCATTTGCAAAGTTCAAACGATGATTTTTGTGGTGAGGACGTAGAAGAGGTTTTCTTCTGATGACTCTTCCATGAAGACCATATTTGTACAAGTATCTCTTTATAGTGGAATAGTGTACCACAACTCCAGTGTCTGCCAGATCTTTCTGGAGGGATCGTGCAGTCAAACGTGGGTTTTGAATTGTTTTTCTCACAATCCTGCGAGCTGTTCTGTCTGATATTTTTCTTGGTCTTCCAGATCTTGCTTTAACTTCCACTATTCCTGATGACTGCCATTTCTTAATTACATTCCGAACAGAGGATATTGACATCTGAAAACGCTTTGCTATCTTCTTATAGCCTTCTCCAGCTTTGTGAGCATCAACTATTTTCAGTTTCAGTTTTCTAGACAACTGCTTAGAAGAACCCATGGTGCTGATTGTTGGGGCAAGGTCAGATGAGTCTGGGCATTTAAAACCTTTGAGATTGACATCACCTGGTCTTCCCAGACGATGAGAACAATCCATGACACTGGCAGGTCTCAGCTTTGCAAAGGGGGCAGTGCATGCTATAAATTCTGCAGGGTGCCCAAACTTTTGCAGACGCCATTTTTTTGTTTTCTGTTATTTTGAAAGTGTAAATGATGGAAATAAAATCTAACTTTTGTTGACATATTATAAGAATGTCTAATCTGTAATTTGATGCCTTTTGGAGATTTTTCCATCTTTCCTTGGCTTCTTTATGCACATTAATACAAATTTTTAGCTGGGGTGCCCAAACCTTCGATCCCCACTGTATATGTAAATACTTTAATATTCATAGTAGTCTAAGCACAGGTGCACTTTAATATTCCTAGTAGTCTAAGCACAGGTGCACTTTAAAAGAGAAGCATTGGATTTTTTTTTTTTTTTTTTTTTAAATAATACTTAGGCTGAGAACTGAGCAATCAAACAGCACTGAATGCTCCATTCTCTCTCTCCATTCTGAGTAGAGAGCTGGGACTGTCAGTCTCCGGCTCTCTGCTAGGCCCCCCTAGTGCTCACTGGAGTGCTGGGCTGTGGGAGGGCTCAGGCTCTCATTGGCTCACTGAGAGCCTGAGTCAGGTTCTGGTCCAGGTTCCTGGGTGGAACCTGACCATATGGTCACAATCTATCCCCAGCTGTTATTCTCCTTTTATCAGTCTTTTTTTTTAAAGTTTATTTTTTGGTGTGGTGAGTGATATTGTTTTTTTTCTTTCTTGCTTAGGGAATAGAGCAGAAGGATCAGAAAGCAAAGCCCAGGACAGACTAAATAACAACAGCAATATCCTCAGTAAACCTAGAGCTTTGTCGGCGCTGGACAACAGTATGAAGCAGCTGACTTTGGATTGTGCAGACAATCAAGCCAACTCAGACATAAAGTGTACGCGCTCTCAGTCCCTGGTCTCGACAGTGCTGGTCAATGCAGTGTGAACAATGTGCCATACGGATTACAGACTGCACCAACAAGATTTTTCTCAGCACATGTAGTGTGTACTGCTGAGAGAACCTGGGCTGACTGGAGGCTCCATACCGTGAACTAATATGTACGAGAAGTACAGATGGCTTTCCAGCAGGCTTCCGCTTCTCTGCTTGCCCTCCTTATTCACCAAAAAAAGCTCAAAATAAGGAATGGAGAGCAGGATATCTTAGAGCAATAAATTGAAATAGAGACTTTGCCAAAGGGTTAACTCCCCAAACGAGTATTGTTACAAGGCTTTCTGTTCCTTGTGTCTTTGCCATATAGGACCATAAACTTGTTTGGTCTGTCAGATGTTTAGTATTCTTGTATTATATACACATAGATCGCCCATCAAATGTGACGACCATGTACTTTTCAACGTAATTCATACAGTAGTCCTATGTATGTGACTTTTTATTAATTAAATCTCTATTCAGAAATCTGCAAACTTCAACCAGTAAGCAACACGTGTCTAGGTTGTTTGACTATCATACATACACAAATCTATTGCGATTTGTTGAAAAAAAAAAGCGTAAAAGTGTAGAGGAACTATAACACAAGTCAACTGTTTCTTTGTCGTCCGCCTTAAATCGTGTTTTATGTTGGGTCAGGCATCCAAATGTTGAATACAGCTGCAAGTACTCCGAAGACATATCTTTTATAAGCTGCTGTCTATTCATTCAAACAATTTATTATCACCCTACCAGCATTTAACCACTGTAATAATCCCAGTTTGTGTGTGAAATGAGCCAAATAGACATCTTTTGAAGCCTACCTTCCCACAATCCATCTCTCTGATCCATCTACCTACCCAGGTAACCTGACGTATCAGTATGGCTCATCTTGCATTTGCACTCATATAGTTCTTCAGCATATCTTCACGCCTGCTTTGTGGATTGCAGTATTAGACATTTTGGGTTTATTAGAAGAAGAAGCAGAAAAAGAACTGTCTGTGATTTAGCTTGTAACAATATATTTATTTGAATTACTATTTACATTAGCTTTGTACAACTCAAATATATTAGACTGCATATTTTTTGACTGATAGTCTGAAGATTTACTGGTCATTTTCTATAAATAAGAACGTTTCATTCGTATATGTTGTCATATTTTTTTTTTTAATGATCGCAGAAGAATTTTACCATGTGCCACGTTTCTAGATTTTATAACTAGACTTTCCCAGCCATTATTCACACATTTGAACTTTTACTGATGAGGCATAATTCCACGGTGGATATGGAGAAAGCAACATTTAAGGAACTTCACCTGAATATTTTGTATGTCTACAGTGCAGCAGAATATTGCTGATGCTGGCTCATGCCTTGTTTTGTATACTGTGGCGCACACTCCAGTAAAGTAATCGGCCATGCATGTTGCATGGGTTTCCTGGTCATGTAGAAAGTAGAGGTTGGCTAAATACAGACAATGATGCTGCTCTATAGAGACAGTGGAGTTTGTGCTGCTAGTTTGTAGTCCTAGGATAGACTAGCCTGTTTTCTATGTAACGGACATGTTTGCTTTGTATCATTTCCTAGGAGAATTTAGTATTGTTGGAATGTCTTGTTTTTTGTGTTCCGTCCTATCTACGACATGTATGTTTCCCCTGAAAATTATGTGTATTAAAAAGGGTGTTACATGCAACTAAAAATTGCTTGTTTGTTTCTTTCTGTCTTAAAGCTATTACATTGCTAATCAGGCAGTTGCATTTAAAGACGTATTCCAGCTATGTATAATGTTGACAAAGTTGATTGGTTCAGCTTAAACCAGTGTAACCGTGCATATACCATACCTGACCAACCCTCTGGATATCACTGTGGTAGGCACCAATACTACAGAGCTCTCCACTAGCTTCCTGGTCCCATGTCTAGCTCCTGCCCTGTTGCAGTGTGAACACAGGAGGTTGCCCACTAAGCATGGGTGTCATGCAGAGAACTGCCCATCTCTCCGTCTTGTCCAATCAAAGGACGTTTTGCATTTATTGACAAAACGCGAAGTGACTGCTGAGTGGCACCTGTGCCAAGCATGGAGCCACCTGTATTCACAATGCAGCAGGGCAGCCACTCAGCATGGAACCCAGAAGCTAGTGGAGATCACTGTAGTAGGCATCGCATTACCAGCTTCTAGAAGGATCCCATAGGTATGGTATATATGGTTACATTGGTCGAAGCTGGACCTCCAGGGAAGAATAAGCCTAAATCTGGATAAACACTACAAGGAAAATCAGAAGGAAATCTCACGATCATCTGATTTGTATAGTGTGTACGCCACTTTCAACATCCGATTCCGACTTTCCAAAAGGAAATTTCCGAAGGGACAAACTCCAAACTTTTTCTTGTATGTGAACAGACCTAACAATTTTTGTTTAATGTGTACTGTTTTTGTACACTAGAAATCAGATACGAAAGACTGCGCATGATCGAAAACAATCAATCTATGCTACAATGTTTCTATGTCAAACAAAAAAAAAGCCTTTGAGAATTTTTGTACAATTCGTACCATCCTTGGGTTTGACTTGTGTGAAACATTGAGGAAAAGCAGAATATCATTCGACCTATTTTCTTAGTGTGTACTCCACTTTAGGCTTCTTTCACTGAGGAAGATTCTTGGAGTTCTTGTCACCTGTGGTGTCCGTAATGATGGTATTTACAGCAGATCAAAAGAGGCATCTTCTCTTGAAGGGCATGAGGGGCAGACCTTTCTTAGATGCAGATCCAAGTCCCAACACTTTAGCCAAATTTGTTCTCTGGACCAACGGGGCTCATGTGGGAAGTAGACGGCAACTGAAAATATTTAGATACTTTTTATGCAGCTTACGGAGACAAGTACATATGCAAGACTAATTTATGTTATTGAAGGAATAGAAAAGGAAAGGAAATGTAAGACACAGCAGCTAAACTGGCAACCCTTTAAGTGTGTTCACACTATGAACAGAACAGTTCTGGTTACAGCTACAGTAGACACCTTACCCATCAGCCCTGCTATTTTGTTTGGCATAGATTATGTTGAAGTGATGCTAGGCTGACTAAGTGATGTGCTCAAACTATGAACAGTGCAGTTGTGTGGTTACAACTGCAGAAGAGGAGGCACCCTATTGCTTTTTTGGCATGGAATATATATGGTCATCCACACCAAGGCCAACTACAAAAACTGCAAACGCTCTTTCATGCAAAAAGTGTGAAGGGTGTAGATATACAAATAAAAAGGAAATTCTACAATTACACTCTAATAATACTAACTAGGAAATAAAGAATAAAATCAGTTAGTGTCTCAGACAAAACACACAGTATATAGGCTGTCATGCTTTTGTGGCAAACCATATCTGATGAATGTACATTTTCTTTTGAAGGGGATGATTCACTTACTATTCAGTGGAATTAACAGTACTCAAGTCTTAGAATGACAGTGCAAAGCACTACAGGCCTGACTGGCTGAATGTACTAACCTCAGCAGGATAATATAAAAATCGATCGTGCTATTTATGGTAGTTGTATGTAAAATGAAACAGAAAAAACACACTTTAAAAAAATGCACAGTATTTTAGCGGTACTCAAAACATTTTGAAACAGGTGGTTTCATATAAAAATTTAATTTAAAAGATCAGCCCTCCCCCTACAAAAAAAAAAAAAAAAGCCATAATTCCTGACTTTTTTGCCTTGGTGAGGCACCTCCTAATGTATTCTATTTAATATTAGAAGAAGAAAAAAAAATCGCACAAAGCATTCAGCAGCCCATCAGGTAATTTAGGCACCAATAGAGACAGAAACAGGTAGTTTAAATCTCCAGAATCTACCAAGACCTAGAATATCAATTGTAGGAGGACTTACTCTTTAAAGCTGCATATACTGTACACATACTATTTATATTATGTAAGCACACACACAACATATTAAAATCAACACATCTCTGTGTTGGAAAAATATTTATTTATAGCTCTATTATTTGAATAAAATATTCAAGTACACATTAAACTGCAGGCTGCCAGCAGTACCCTTTCCCTTCTAAAAAAAAAAAAAAAAAGAAAGTTCTTCAGGAAGGGTTATATGCGCAGTATGACCATCTAGAACAGTATTGAGAGGCTTAACGATTTCCTCTGCATGCGCCACTGAAACTCCATGCATGGCTGTGTTCTCCCGCTACCAGTCGGAATTGTATTGTGGAGGTATGTCCTGAGAAGAGCTTGTTGACGTCTCTCAATCACTGCAGCTGGGATACCTTGATTGGTATAGTGCTATTAAAGTCCAAAAAGAAGGGGCCCTCCTGTGCAGGCAAAAATGTGGTGGGGATAATGTTATACACGCCTGCTGGTACAGATTCTATTTCCAGGTAGCAGAATCCACATCTATGAGGACAAGAAATATTTCATCAGAACTAATAAACAGATTTACTGGTGCTAATTGTTTTATATAAATAAATATTACGTTGAAAATACGTAAAGTAAACCCATCACAAACGTGAAACATTCCAAAAAAAAGTCTAATGTAAAAATGTATAAGCAGATGTTACTGTCAGGGAAATTGCACACCAAAGCAATTAATAGATTCAGAGATACAGTGTAGACTGCTACATTGATATACTTTTTGTCTTGTAAGGCCTCGTGCACACTGTGTGTTAAAAAAAAAAAAAAAATAAAATAACTGCCTTTAAGGGCATTTGGTGGGGTTTTGTTTTTTTTTTTTCCTGCCTCTAAACACCCCTTTATATTACTCTGTGTCCATGCACAAGAAGGTGTTTAGAGAAAAAGAAAAAAAGCATCACTTGCACGTTCAGAAGTGTTTCAGCAGAAAATCCACTTCCTGTGCCTAAACACGTGTAAACTAACTAGGTGCGTTTAGCGTTTGAGAGTTCATTCCAATGACCAGATTAAATTAAAGTGTTACTAAACCCACAACAGTTAAATCAGTCTGTATATGCAGTAAAGCAAGCTTGTTATACTCACTGTGGAACCTAAGGGGTTAATCTTCTGCAACCCTGT